CCTAGAGGAAGGCTAGACATCCATCAACGGGTTGGCTGAGTTTACATAGCTTATCCATGAAACTTCTACCAACCCTGCAGAACTCGTGTATGCTAATCATACATAACACTGGATCCTATAGACAGTCGAATACTTGATTCTACCCTAAGACCACAACCAAAAAAGGAACCGGAAATAAGGCTAAATTAAACATTCTCAGGCTATAAAATCTTAGTTATGTATAATTTTGATGCATACACTAAGAAACTACATTAATGATATCAATTCCATATAAGGAAGAAACCCTAGGCTATCATGCATCACATAATTAGACAATTCTATCATGCATTTCCTGAAGATCCCTAGCCTATCACTAGCATGTTATTCTAATCATATGATAATATCAAATAACAATGTGGTAATTTGGGGTCTACTTACTGGCTCTGGCTGATCGTACATATCATAACCTTTCTTGCTTTTTTTTGAAAACAATTTTTTAAAATCATTTTTAAAAGTTTTGCAGTTCCTTAGTTTGAGACTGGATTCTGTAACATCCATAAAATTTGAGCCAATTTAAAACTTTTTAAATCATATAAAACCATTCAGTTATTACAGTTTGTTTTCAAAATAGTTTAAACATCAAAGTTCCCAGAAATCATAAACATAAATCGAGGAAGTGTACGGTCACACCTTCGCCTTCCCGCGGTCATCTGTTGAACCTGAAACAATAAACTGAAACTGTAAGCCCGAAAGCTTAGTGAGTTAACCCCAAAATACCAACCTCATACAACCATAACATATCATATAACAAACACAGAACAACCATGCATCTCGAGTCTACAGTGTGACTGGTCCGCCCGCACCGGGCCTTCAGTCCACCTGGTCCACTCTCTGAGTCTACAGTCTGACTGGACCGCCCGCACCGGGCCTTCAGTCTATCTGGTCCACTCTCCGAGCCTCGACACGTCTGGTCCGCCCTCTCGGGGCCTTCATCCTATCCGAACCGCTCGACGGGCCTTAGGCCTAACTATGTGCCCTCCTAGGCTGCAGTCTATCCGGTCCGGCTGGGTATGTTGGCCTACAACACAAAGTAGGACCCGCCTCAACCAAACCCCCATACCAATCAAACAATCATGTACACATAAATATCATAAGCTAACATGTATATAACAGATAATCATACCGATCTAACAGATCACTAACACAGCAACCATCCTATAACCAGGATACCGACCTAACCGGTCACTAACATAACATCATCCTATATACCAGGATATCGACCTAAACCAGGTCACTAGCATAATACCATCCTAACTACCAGGATGCAGATCTAACAGATCAATAAACATATCAAGCAAATATCCGGATGCGAATCCGATAAAGGGCCAGCCTTGTTGCCTTAGATCCTGTTGATATAGTGAGGATAACTCACCTTGCAAAGCCGATCTGAAATGAAGAATCAAACTCCCAAATCACCGACTCGCCCAAAATCCCGAGCTATCCAAAATAGCGAGCAATAAGTCAAAAATAGGAATATTAATCTTGACCAAGAATCCCACAAATAATATTAGTCGAACTTGCCTTTTCTCTCATTTGGGCCAAGGCCCAATACCAATCCATGATCTACAAGTCCATATGTGTAAGGCCTAATATTGGCCCAATTTACCAAATTGGGCCCAACTTCCTAAATGGGCCCAACTCAAAGATCCACTATCAAGACTTGGCCCAAAACACCATATCCATAAAGTCCAGCAAAGGCCCAAGCCCAACTAGTCCATGAACAGCCCAACACCCGAAGCCCAAATCACAAAAAGCCCACAGAAGGCGTACGCTGGGCGTACCCCAAGGCTACGCGGGGCGTACATGAGTCTCGCGTTGACTATAAACGGGGTCATTGACCCAATACGCTGGGCGTACAGAACCTTACGCGGGGCGTACAGAACCTTACGCGGGGCGTACGTGAGTTTTGCCAAAACTCTAATAAGTGCTTAATGGCTTAAGCACTTAAGCCCAAACCTCAGATCCAGTGACCAAATGTGTCTAGGACTCATAAAGTCTCGAACTTTAACACTTTGGACGTCGAAAAATCTCTTAATCTAAGGTCTTAATCCATTAAGACCTTCCTACTACATGCATGGGACATTTTAAGCTATTGGGACCTTATTTTTAACACTCAAAACCCCTTCACGAGTCTGAAAGGACAGCTCATCTCGTCCAAATCATCACATGCACCATTTTGGGACTTTTGGGACAAGAAATGGTTCCATAATGCTAAAAAGGCTAGATCTATGACCTACAAGCATAAAGTTTGAAGCTTTTTACCTTCCGGAGCTTCTATGGCACAACACAACTTCAGATCTACAAGCCAATCTTCTTCTTTAACTATTTGTTGCAATGGCTTCACCTTCAAGAGCTCAAAATACCACCAACTCACTCTCACACACAAGATCTAGGGTTTAGGGGTGTTTCTGGAAGATAGAGGCTGATAAGGAGGAGAGAAAATGAGCCATGAGGATGTTTATATAGCCCCCAACCCGAGATATTAGGGTTTCCTTCTCTTATAAGTACGCCCAGCGTACACAAGTGTACGCCCAGCATACTAGGGCGCACCCCTACTACACTCAGCGCACCCTTATGTACGCGCAGCGTACTCCTCTTGGCCCCAAAATTACAATTTAGCCCTTAGGCTCTTCATGGCTTTACCCTGCCATCCCTAGGGACTACAAATGACAAAAACTTGAGATGTTACAGATTCACACTGGTGTTCCTCCAATTCGCTCAAACTAAGGCTCAGATACCAACTTGTAACATCTCAAAAATCACAACCAATTTAAACTTTTCAAATTAACCAATTTACTAATAAAAGTGTTTACAAAACCATTGTTCAAAACAGAGTGTCCCAAGATCAACATCATAAAATCAGGATGTGTACGGTCACGCCTTCGCCTTCCCACGATCCTCGGAAGTACCTGAAACCATAACCAAAAACTGTAAGCCAAAGCTTAGTGAGTTCCCCCAAAGTACCACCACACAATATACAAATCATATTCAAACAAGCATGCTGGGTACAATCAGTCATCAGACTAAAATACCCCCGGGTCCACAGCCATAGGCCTGGATTACCCCTGGCCGAATCAGTCATCAGACTGGAATGCCAATATACAACAAGTCCATTCAGCCATCGGGTTGGAATACCAGTATACATCAGGTCAACCCAGTAATCGGACTAGAATACAATCGGGTCCACTGATCCATCAGGTTGGAATACCCCCGGTCTGTTGACTCATACACAAAGCAATAAAGTCTCAACCCAACACAATATTTCAACATATAACAGATAACAAACAAAATCAACAGACATATAATCATGCAGCCAGAAATCACAGGTAGTCCTACAAAACTACCGGTCTACGCATATCAGCAACTATCATATAATCCTACGGATCTATCCCATACTCAGCATATCATGTATCAATGTATAACAGTATATATCAATCCAATAGACCGGCCTTGGTGCCTTCGACCCATAAGTAAAGTGAGGAAAACTCACCTCACATTCTGACGAATAGTTGATCAATACTCTGCTCCCAAATACCGGCTCACCCAAATCCTAAATGCCAAAACATTACCTATTCTAAATTAATAACATTTTCCCAAAATACACTTGGTCAAAACTAATCAAAATTAACATGTAAAACGAGTCAACACAACCGATTCGAATCAGACTTTGTACGCGAGGTGTACTTGAACTTTGACCGCAGTCGGGATGGTTGACCACGTACGCGCTGTGTACTCCGAGTTACGCAGGGCGTACACTCAGACTTCCCAAATCCTCAATAAGAGCTTAATGCATTAAGCTCTCACGTCCAACTTTCAGATCCAAGGCCAAAATACCACTAAGAGTCATAAAGTTTCCAACTTTATGACTTTGCATGTCCATTAAGTGCTTTATCCACAAAATCCTAACTTCTGAATGCCTTAAGACCTTCTATAGCATGCGTGAAGGAAAACTAACTATGAAGACCACATTTTTATGACTTAAGACCCTCCAAAAGGTTTGAAAGGACGTCTTATTGGGTCAAGAACTTGTCATGCTCAAGAATCACCATTTTTGGGACAAAAGATGTCTTAAAGGAAGAAATACCTAGATTTAAAAGATGGAGTGATCAAGATGCAAACTTTATACCTCCTGGAGATTGCTAACAAGAAGGAAATCTCAGATCCAAGCTGCTTCCAAGCTCCAAGCTCTTATCACCACCTTCTTCTTCTTCTTCTTCTTCTTCTTCAAGAACTCCTCCAAAACACTCCAATCGGCTCAAAATGCACTCTTCTCACTTAGGGTTTGCTTGGGGTCGTTTTACAAAGAGGGCGGCTGATGAAGCAATGAGACATGAGGCTATAATGGGGTTTAAATATGGACCAAAACCCTAAAAATTAGGGTTAGCACATTCCTTACGTACGCCCTGCGTACGAGGTGTAAGCCCAACGTACTAGGGCGTGCCCTAGTACGCGTAGCGTACACAACGTACGCTCAACGTACTACTTTTGGACAAAATTACCATTTTTCCATTATGGGCTATTTTGCAATATTTTCCAATCCCAAGGGATAAAATACAATATTACTCAAACATAGGGTTGGAAATTGAAATTACGTTGACATCGGGATGATACATAAGTGATGATATATTTATTTTGGAGGGGATGAAGAAGACATTAAGCTACAGCTTGTAGGTCCACCCATAGTGTCTATGTGAAATTGGATAACCGGGTTACCCTTTCAAATGTTCAAAATGACTTTTTAGACACGACAAAATCAACTTTATGCCCCCCATAAAACACCAAAAAAAAAAAAAAAACTTTAAAGACAGATTCGACAAATTCGAAAAACATTGTTGGGCTAATGTGTTATTTCTCTTTCAATATGTTCGCCGGAAGCCATGGAGAAGAGAGGGATAATCAATAGAGTAAATAATATCTCCTAGAATTGGTTTGAGATGTATCATTAATATATAGAAAATGACCATGGACTATGTATTTAAAAATTCCTCATCACAACATTAAAATATTATACATAATTAAAGATAATTGGACAAGTCTGTCGACAATTTTCCATACAAGGACCTACAATACCATAAACTAAAGCATGGACACCAAACGGGAGCCAAGGAGATGAAAGAGATGAACTCTTTTCATCTCATTATTGAAATGAAAGCTAATAAATAAAATCATAAGAGTAGAAATCCAGTCTGAGAAGTGCCTATGTTGTTTAACCGTGCAACTTGGAGACTGGAGTATGATGAGATGGCAACTTCATTTCTCTACGCGACATCAACGATATTCCGATTTTGGATCTTGGATTTGTTTATCTTTCTTAAAGAACTTAACGTGAAAGCCATTTGGGAATTGTAAACCTGGAGTTCGTACAATCTCTCCTCCTTTGATTGTTTGCCACCTGATTAAGTTTATTAATTAATTAGTATATTTCTTTTTTCATTTTGTCTCTCTTCCTTGTTGATCATGTATTTGTTATTTATCTTTATACCGATATTTGGTTACTAGGCAATGAAGAAAGGTAGACATCTGAACTCTAGCAAAATCTGCTCCAACACAAAACCTCATACCACCTCCAAATGCCATGAAAGTCTTTGATGCAGCAGTGAGACCCAACTCCTTGCAATGCAGATTGAGAATACACAAGAAAGACGAGAAAAGGTATATGAATTCTATTAATTTTTAGTGAAATATATGAAGATAACTTGAGATTAATTACCTCCCATCTCCATGGATCGAAGTCGAGTGGATCTTTATAGTTGGTAGGGTCTAAATGGACTGCTGGAGGGCATACCATTACCACCCAACCAGATGGAATAGTGTAGTCTGCAATTATGTACCCCGATTTTCATATAAAGGCACACCTATGAATCATACCATATATCTGTATAAATTTATAAGTCCTTGTTGGATGTATACGTACCTTTGAACTTGATATCCGTCAGTACTTTTCTGAATACTCCTGGAACTATATTCGCAAGCCTTAGTGTTTCATTGATAATCTGTTCATTGAAAAGAATCTCAAACAATCAAAAGAAGGAATCTTACACCCCGCTCCCGAGTTCAACTTAAGGAGAGAAAAGAAAGGAAATTGGTGGAAATGAGAGGAAAGTAAGAGAGATTGATGCTCCCTAGTTTCATTAAAGGAAGGAAGTGGAAGGAAATGGAAGGATCACTTTCCCTCCTAACTTTCCTTCCGATTTGGGAGGATTTGAAAAGAAAGAATAAAATGTTTAACTTTTCTTCAATTTCTCTCCAACTCGGGAGCACAAAAGACTAATTTGTTTTTCTTTCTTTTCTCTTCTTTTCTGTCCTTACTTTCTTTTCTCTTCTCTTCTTTTCTTTGCTTCAACTCGGGAGCGGGTTAGGGTACCTTTTGAATTTATTTAAAAAGTTTTACTACTAATTGTGAGGCAAATTGAGAGGACTAGTACTGGGAGCACCTGAAACGTGAATGTCATTGTCTTGTATTCTTCCCATGTAAGTCCAGAGTCTGGGTTCTCCCGCTTTCTTAGGATTGTCATATGCTCGTCCTACATAAAAGGTAAAACAACAATCATATTAATTTGCGGGTTAAAAAGATTTTTATGGTTTTATATATATTCTTTAATTAACTTATATTACGCACCGTTAATTCCTTCAATGCTCTGGGGTTATCTGTCAGAAGCTTGATAGCGACTATTATGGCTTGGGAAATTGTTTCAAAGCTTGCAAACAATAGAACAAACATCAAGTCCAGGGCAATTTCTTCTGTAAGGGTCGTATTATTTTGCTTCAGTTCTTCAAGTACATAATCAAAGAAATCGTTTTTGACCATATTAGGTTTATGTCTTCTTTCCTCTAGCATGTTCTTGAGCACCATCATTACCTTCTTTCTTCCCTATTAATTTGGATTTAGAAGAATTATGAGTTCTTGGTTTCTTCTATCTATCGGCACTCCTGATTGACAAGCTATTTACGTACGTACGTACCTGTAGACACTTGTGGTAAGCAGTTCCAGGAATCCCCAGAGGGAATGAAATTAATCCCCCTATAAAAGCTTCAAAGTTCTCCCTTAGATTCTCGGTCGACTTCGCTTGATCATAACTTATCAATTTTTTTCCCATGAGATCAAATATCATCTGTTATATATAACACCATACGAATATCGAAGGAATGACGTCAGTTGGCGTTAAAAATGAAAAGAAATCGGCATCACTCTACTTACATCAGAACAGGCAGTCTTCAGTTCCACTGTTTCTTTGCAAGCCCACCCCTCTATGCTTTTAGTTGCTACACTTTCCACTTCCAAAAGGGTTTTCTTTAGGCTTTCAGGACCAACTATAGTTAGCACCATGTTCTTGAGGTACTTAAACAAATTCCCATGCAAAGAACCTAGATTTTGGCTCCCAAAGATCTTCGTCAAGCTTTCCGGGTACCAGCTTTCAAATCTTTGCCCCTCTTGTTGAAGAACCATATAGTTAAGGTCTGGATCAGTTGAGACAATTACTCGCAGCCCAACTATACTGGTTCTGAATATAGATCCGTATCTGAAATAAACCAACGAAAGTCAGATTTAGTTATTTACATCGATCAACTTGAAACACTGAAAAGTAGATATTAATTGTAACAAACTTCAGAAAAGATTCACCTTTTTATTCTGTCCTTGATGAAAGGAGGAGTATCCCAAGTTTGATTTGGGGCAAAGAACTGTAGAGATTCGCCGAATAGTGGCCAACCCATTGAACCAGGAGGAAGATTTCCATTGCCTTTAGGGTTCCTCCATTTGTAAACCCAATGGGTAATGCTTACCACAACAAAAGCTGTAATGCACAGACCAAGAGGCCACATTATTATGAGCAAAAAAGACAGTTAAGACTGCTACGTAAACAGTAGTCTTAAAGATTTAAACGAAGACAAAATGGAAATGTTGATGTGAGGAGAAACAAATGGTGAGGATGGGGTTATATAGCCATATGCATGATACATGACGTTTAAATACTGAAGTAAACAAATAGCCCCTCAACAATATGTCAATTTGCAAAACATTGGCTGTTTGAGTAATCTTTATATTTATTTATCTATAAAGGCCTTTCAAATTCATATAGGCCTTTCAAATTCGTTATAGATAAGTTGATATCCAAACCATGTTGATTTGAAACTTAAAATCTTTTTATATTCCTTATTACTAATTTGCTTTCATCCGTTTTAAACTCCTTTAAAAACTCATTTCATATTTTATAAAACATACTAGACCAATATCTGCGCCTTGCGCAAGAATATATTTATACAGTTTTTTAACGGCAAACACAAACATCCACACAATTATTTAATATTGCTCCTAGTTCTACAAACTGTGAATTAATATTTATATATGAAAAAACAATCTTAATAAATGTATATCAAAAATATATTGATTTATATATATAACGAATAACAAATAATATAAAAATTACATACTGTAACTTTTGATGATTTTATAGACTGTTTTAAGCTGTGTAAATTGTATATAAAATGTATGCTGAATTATGTATTAAATGAATAAAAAATATATGAAAAACATAAATACTACAACTTTTAATAACATAAAAACACTACAATATCTATTATAACATTTATAACAAAAAAAAAACTTATTACACTTATAAATCATACAAAAAAATATAGAAATTACATATTATATATATATATATATATATATATATATATATATATATATATACACACACACATTATCGTTCCAATAAAAGTCCGCATAATAATAACCATAATATGAAAAAACTCATTTTTGTTTTCAACTCATGATATTTTAGTTACAAATATCTTAAAACACGTGATTGTTTTGTGAGGAAACTTATTTATATATTATTAATAAGGATACATTGTATATAAATGACTGAAAAATAAAATGTCACTACCAATTACTAACCATAAGTTAAAAAAACTTTTGAGTTGTAGTATTAATAACTTTAAATATGAAATCATAAGTACACAAAAATTACAAAACGTTTTTGTTGTTCTGAGAAGTTCAAATGAATTTGATTTAAGTATATTTATCGCATTATGCAGAATAGAATATATATATATATATATATATATATATATATATATATATATATATATATATATATATATATATATGTTTAGGTTATTTTGTTTTTACTAACTATTGTGTGCCAGAGTGTACAGATCTGGACCACCGGATGGAATAGAATCAAAGGTCATGATCTGAGGGTTTATGATATTACAATAGGGTAACATGTACCATATAATCACACAAATTTCAGCATAAGGGCATTTTAGTCAATTAAACTATATTAAAAAAGGAAATTTTCGGATTTTTAAGGATAATTAATTCCTTTATTTTTAAAAATCTGAATATTTCAAATGAATTCAAATTTAAAAATTCGATTTTATTCTGTCACAATGACAGAATGCCAACCATAAACTAGTAAATATATTTTTGATATCATTCTTGCAGAATATATTTCCAATGCAGATATTTTTGATAATTAATTTGCTTTTAGAATTCTAGATTATTATTCATATACATCCAAGTTGGGTATATGATTTTATTCTTAATACACATCCGAAATAAAATACAAATTCATACATATTCTTACAGACTAATATCCTTATACATTTTAATATATTTATACATCTTTTAACAGAATATCATAAAAAATGAATAAAATTCTTAAAAAAATAGCATTCTTGAATATACAATTATTGAACAAATACACTTGATCTTCTACAATGGTCCATATAATCCACTTGATCTTCACATATATACTTGTTGTTGAACTCGATTCCAAATATTTCTCTTGTATGATCAATATTTAATTCATTCTTCATGGAATTCTAAAAAAATAAGATACATTACTCGTTAGTATTACCAATTAAACAAAGATACTTGTTGTTAACAAACATTCTCAAAAGACATTCTAACAGAATGCATATATATATATATATATATATATATATATATATAAATTCTAACAGAATACATTACAGAATGCACTTAAATCATAGTCTTTTTTTCTATATGCATAAACATTCTAAAGCATGTATAAATGTATTCTGTCATAATTACTAGCAACACATGTTTTATGTAATATTTATATTCTCATAGAATGAACATGTGTTTGCATTCTAATATGAAAAAAAATCCCCAACTTAACCCTTTTTATGCAAATTCTGACAGAATGCCAGCTTAACCCTTTTCATCAAAGACAAATTTAGAACAATCAAGTATTAAGAACAAATGGAAAATCAAGAACAATCTATCATTATTTAAGTCAGATTCTAAATTACAAAATCAACTTGAATGATGTATATTTAAAATTAAAGAAGAATGAGAGCACAGTGGGTATATTAGTGAAATCGGAAATCAACAGGAAGTATATTAGTGGCATAGCAACGACAAGACCTTCTATGGTACTTCCCAGAGTTAGCTCATTCTTTGTGTAAACTACAGCTCCTATATTCATTAGGAAACATGTTATAGAAATTCTAAATCTTGGATTCCATGCTTTTGAACCCCCAATAAGTTTGATAAGACAAGTGAAATTCATTTGGATTCAAAACCAAGAGAAACAAATTGAGTACCTGCAATTGTAGCATTATCCCAACCCTGTAAAAGATTACCAATTGTGGAAATGATAGCAACTAATGCAGCCAATTGTGGCAATGATAGCAACTAATGCAGCCCCATTAATATTTTCAAACAGCTCAAACAAATGTAATTCGAAAACCTACAAACAAAATCAGAAAAAACCATAGGTAAAAATTGGGATTTTAGTGAAAGAAAGCTTTCTTGATTTCTTGGGGTGGTCATACACATTATACCTCACTTAAGTTCTACCCACTATTTGTTATATGACACTTAAAAAACGCCCAAATCATTCGACTGAAAAGGAATGTAGATCCATATATATTTCGTAATAACAGGATTTAATCCTTAAAAGCTAATTTATAACCCTTTCAGAGGAAGAATTGCAAGCAATCAAGAAGTAGAAGAATCGAAAATCAAATATTACAGGGAATAATGGAAGAATTGCGTAGCTGCGATGAAGTGCTTAACCCTTTCCATCTTAACCCTTTTCCAAAGTCAAAATTGATAAGCCTTGGAAATAAAAAACGATAGGAAAGAACGAACATCACCATTCTCAAAAGAAATTTGATTGTAAAATCATAAATTACGTTTAAAAATTAGAAATTGAGTTCAAGAACATACCAGGTCTATGATGTTGGTGTACGACGACAACTATACACCGATTTCGGTGATGGAATATGAAGTCGACGAGGTCGTTGTGATGATTGTGGGCGATGGGGTTCTGATTAGATCCTTCGCTGGTATAAGGTCGTTGTGATGGTTTTGATGTACATTGTTTGTTACAAAGGTGGTGTAGGAATGCAAGGTGAAACTAAAAGCTTTGATTTCGAGGTGGTGATGGTTGTTTGGTAGAGGAGCGGCAGTCAAGTTGCCGGTTGAGGTGAGGCTACAGATTTTTTAGGTCGATCGTTAGAAGATAAAGAGGGGAGAAGACTAGGTTTTAGGAAGTTAATGAATTGCCAATAGTTCAAAATTAATTTCTTTCTACTAGTTTTCTTACATAAGCATAAATATGCAAAGATTACTATAATACCCTTACATAATTTCCTTAATGATTTATTATTTCCTCAATTCTCATTGGTGCATATATGCACACAATAGTTGCTAGAAACATTTGAACCTAGCTCTATATATATATATATATATATATATTATATATATATATAGATATATATATATATATATATTATATATATATATTATATATATATATCGTTAACGTATCCCTCAGGAAAAACGTTAAAGAAGAAAAGTCAAACTACCGCCAAGCTTGGCCTAGTTAAAGTCTGGTCATACCTAGTCAAAGGCCAAGGTTAGGCCTCCTCCTGCATGGACTCACTGGTATGGCGGTTAAGGGGCAAAACTGTGCCTTACCCTCTTCTCCCCAGGAAAAATACCCCGGAAAACGTGGAGCCAATCAGAGAGCTCCACTTTCCTATCTGATGACAGCCACGGTCATCATTATATCGAAGATTCCCCTCTAGCTAATGGGGGAACGAGATAGAAATACGTGATGGAGGATCCTTCAATACGGATCTGCCACGTCACGTCTCACGAGGGAAGGCTCAACATAATCAGTTAGGAGGCACGCGCCCCTCGACCAGGTATAAAAAAGCCCTTCTTCCCCACGGAGAAGGGGAGTGGACTCTTTTTCTCTCAAACATTCTCTATCTTCTCTCAGAATCAATTCTAACTTGACCGTCGGAGCTTCGTCGTGGGAACCACTCCCGGACGTTGTCTAACGATCATCTCTTTTCTTTATAGTATGATATCAGGAGAAGGAACCAGCTCGACCGCCACCCTTGATCTCTATCCTACCCTCTCCGACATATCACATCATTTGGCGCCATCTGGACGTATCTCCAGAACGATACATCCACGAAGCAAAACCAAAGAGCAAATATGGCAGGCGAAATTCCTGCGACGTCGGGGGCAGCGGAGAAAAGCCCGGTGCGTCCAATGCAGCCGTTAGACGGAGGGCATGTTTCCATCCAGGAAGAACACGCTTCAAATCGCACCCATTCTCACAGACACCATCCAGCTCTGCAGCTGAAACGGCGGCAACCTACATGGCCAGTTTATGGGGTCGAACAGTTAACCCATCTCAGCAAGCAACAATTGTAACTACAACTCTACAAATTGTCGCAACACAGCAAACATAGATACTTGTTTATCAGCAACAATCGTTTCCACACAGTTCGGGCACCGGAACCTGGATCCCTCACAATATTCAACCGCAATCACAACATTCATCGATGATCTACCCACACGCCACCATGGCAGGCATGCCCCACGTGCCGTTGTTCATACAGCAA